CTAACCTGTCTCGCTTTGGTCAGACGTGTAAACCCCTGCAAAGCTGCGGAATTGTGCGACTGCCGCAGGATTTCACAAGTTTCACAAGGTGGTCGGCCTGTAAAAGTTCACCTGAGTACTATTCGGTGCCCCCATCAAGCCGAACTGCGCCTCCTTGCATCCTACTTTCATTTCAACTCGTAGTAATGATTGGCCTGAAGAATTAGTTTTTGAGGTCTAGCCAGTGTACAAGTCAGTCTTTTTATTCTGCCGGACGAAGATGGTGCCACTTAACAAGCACTTGAGGTATGGAAGGTTTAGGCGAGTTCCAACCTGAGCGAGTTTCGATTAGGAACTTCACACCTAAACTGTGTGCATCTTGAGTGATGCCACTCACCACACGAACCCCTCTACCGGCGCTGTTCGGCTTGGAGGGGCATCCAGCAATTTCGCTAGTTCCGCTAGTACATGTTAGCTAACAAATTAACTCCTATAGATGTGAGCAGTAGAAAAGGACTACAGTAAAATATCCGAAATAAAATTCAGAAAAACAACCAAAAAAACAGAATGAAACCCAGTAGGCAGCTAATACAACTGATATAGGGAATCTTACAGTGTGCCTCAGCGAAAAGAATTTTTCGGCGCAGTTGGGTGGGAAGGGGGATTTTGCACTTTTGCTGATCCATTGCATCCGGTTTCTTGTGAACTCTCGTGAAGCTGGAGCAAGCTCGTCTGGCCAATATGGTATAACTTGTACATTCCTTTGAGCTCATGAAATAGCTCTCTAGATGGGTCGGCACGTCGGTGGTGAGCAGCAAGAATGCAACATGTCCCCCTCCCTCCCCGCTCGAACTGTACCGAATTTTACCTTGCTCGTGGTAACTTGCTTTCTCATAAGAGACCCTAGCGAAATGAAAAAACACCAGTTAATGGACTGCGTGTGAAAGCAAGACTACTGATCAACCCTAACCACTTCCTGTTCGGTGCGGCCAGGTGGACGGTTTTGGGGAAAGTACGTATCAATGGCACTTTTGAACCTTTCCTGACGGCAGTACCAAGTGATTCCACCGGCGGAAACAGGTGTCTTACTTATAGTTTTTAAAGAGATTTGTGCCCAAAGCGGCTTAAATGGGAGAGATACTCAAAAGACTTCTCGTACAAAACTGGGATCACTGTGACTTTCATGGTGGTTTTTGCGTAAAATCAGAAAAGAGGACGGTTTCACTCGACTTCTTTTCTTTCCATTTTCTTTGTACAGAAAACGGGTTTTCCATTAGTGTAGTAGCGATTCTGCACAATGAGCCCTTTGAGGATAAGCTTCACATCTCGTTCGAAGATCTTGGTCCTTGGCGTGTCGGAGGTAAACGGGACCGCAACTGCGCCTCTTTTGCTGCTCTGAAATGCGAGGAAATGAGACTAGAGGGAAGTGTTACGTGACCGCCATTTGGGGCTCCAGCTAAAGAGCAAAGTGCAGCGCTGCACTGCCAGCTTTATGTTCAGCCGAGCCAGCGGCGCTTTTTGGCTGGGCCGCTAACATTTGGTTATTAAGCTGTAGTTTTCTACACTTGGTCGCAAAGACAGCTTACTGTTAGCTTGCGCGTCTCTGCAGGCCCACATAGTCTCTACTCCCCTGCCGCTGCAAACGCTAGCAAACGCTGGTGAAACGCTGGTGAAGCTAGATCGATATGCATCCTCTCTTCGGCACTGCCGCTGGCGTACGCTGGAAGCGCTACGCTACGCTGCCGCAAAGTATAAACGCAGCCTATGTTCTGCCTGTGGAACACAAACATCGCCGCCTATGCTGCTCTTTTGAGACGTTAGTTCGAGACCCACCTTTCACGACACTTCTGCCTTGGCAAATTACGTAACTGCAAACTCCTTTCCGCACGTGTCCACCTCCCTGGTGAAAACGAAAACGTTCAGTTCGTTTCTGAATGCCCATCCATCAGCCGATTTGCCACGAATATTGGCGTTTTCTTGTTTGTTCAAGAAAAACAGGAAATTGCCAAGGGAGGCATGACCTACACAAAGCAGAAGCTTTTTGCTGTATAATGCACATCACAGCGTGGAAATGTAACGGCAGCTATTAAAATCGAAAGTGATGTTCTATCTTTGCCGAATTTCAACGCTGATACCAGATGCTTATCGGAACCGATGCCTGATCACTTCCCCGGGGAAACATCAAAAAAAATTGCCCTGGTGTGAAGTTTCTCAACGGGTTTTTTCGTGACATCTCGTCTCTTCATTCACGCCCTAAATGTAATTTAATCGAGATTCTACGTGGGAGGCCGCCCACAACTCGCCACAAAGACTGAAGCTCCCTTTCAATCGCTCTTGGTATTCGGGAGTTCTCGTAACTTCCGCCATTCAATATAATTCACTATTTTCATTCTTAACCTCTTCGATTTTATTTGATCATCAGCTCCTCATACGAAGGAAATGTCATGGCTTGGTGGTGATGGGGGGGGGGGGGGGGAGGTGGGAGGTGGGGAATTGTTTTGCAGATCCCCATCGATGGTGTCTCCTGTGAACACTTATGCCAGCATGATTTGCCAGAAACTCCTGAAAAAGTCTAGAGGTCAGCATCAGCTCATGCAGCAGCATGATTTTCAAAAACTCCTGAAAAAGTCTAGAGGTCTCACCAAGGTGAGACACGTTATTCAACAAAAACTATTAAAAGAAATTGACAAACAAGGAAAAACCCCCTTGCTTCTCGAGCCGAACAGCGTCCTCTTCGAAGCAGCAGACAGCATCGTTGGGAGAATCTTAGGCCATGCTTGGTCCCCAGAGAGAGGATCGTGAGTCGCTTTGAGAGGAAAAATTTTTTCAGTTGTTGACTTTTGCGTCAATTATTGAGTTTTTCCGTCTTATTCCGTCTTTTTTTCGTCTCATACCTAATTCTGTGGAACAATGTATGTAGAACTACACAGAACTACTGTTTTAATAAATGATTTTCGCAGCTGACCGGTATAACCCTTTCCCCCGACCTTCTCCACTCCAGTTTTTCAGGTAAAAACTATGAAAAATAATGGGGGGAAACAGCGAGTGGCGGAAAAATTAGTTGACGTGAGAAGACCTTTCTTAGCTACTTGATTTTTCCCTTACTAGTCTACATGACTAGGAGAACTCCACTGGGGAGAGGGTCGTATTCTGTCGTCGCTGGAAGAGGAGGGTCGCATTTGCCTTCGGGGGGAATTATTCTCCCTCTTCTGGGAAAAGGAGAAAAAGAGGTAAGAAGTGAGGAAATGTCAGTAAGACGGTAGATAGGATTGCAAAAGGTGGTAAGGTCATACCACAGGAGGAAATTTGGGGGTCGTGGTATCTAGGAAGTGCCCTGAATAAGGTGGGAAAAGGGTGGTCTTACTGGAAGAGAAACTATTCGGGGGAGATCGTACTGATATACTCATGCTGCACTTCTCCTAGCAGTACAGAGAAGCGCTTCTGTGCTTGTGGAATCGTCCGTATTTCACCAAAGACAGGCTCCAAAGAAATGAAGTATGATCTTTCCGCACTTGCATATTTCAGTATGCTTTTTCTCTCTTTGAATAATTCAAACCTAGTTGAGTTTCTGGCGTGGCGCAATTCACTTGGAGGGGCGGGGAAGGAGGTACGGGGCATTTGACACATTCGCTTCTTCCCACTGTCGTGTCGAAACCAATTAGACCTGAAATGATACCATCGAAGTTTGTAGAAACAACTTGTCGTAAAGAATACTCGTCAATACTTGCAAAGCAATGAACACGTCGACAGGATGAAGCAAACGTGCAAAATGCCCCCCCCTCAGCCTCAGCCGAACCGCGCCAAGTTTCTCGCTGTATCCGCTTCTACGTGGTGTTCTATAATTACAATATACAAAAATTTATTGAGACATTATTTCCAGTAAACTTACTGTATGCGAACGGGTACTTCAACTATGACCTATTCACCATTTCGTGCTATACTGCTGGTAAGAAAGTCACTTCTATTAGAGGCTTCTGAGCTTGAGATTTCGACTTTCATTTCAGTTTTCTCTCGCAGTATCAACCCATGCCCAGACCTCTGCCATAAATGATTTAATACGGGATGATGCCAGGCTGGTACGTTCATTCACTCTTTGATTTTGTGGCATTTCACCAGTAATTAATTGCATCTGTGACCACTTTTTCTGAAGAGCGATATCCCCTCGTCTTACAATCACGTCTGGCACATTTATATTCCCCGCAAAGGACAGGACCTGTAGGGGATTGACCGGACAGGGCCGTTTTTCGCACCAATTGAAGCAATCCTAGGACAACTGGTGTAAAGTATTGGTGAAACTGTTGGCTGCTTCCCAGTCAATCTCCATCACACCTCCTGTCCCTCGTAGGAAAAATAACCGCGTGAGGAGCAGCAGGAGAATTCATCCGTTCCTTATGGGTTCGTGTCCACAGGGAAAGCGATTATTTTCCGTGGCACAAAAAAGCGCAGAAGTGGACTACACGCTGGCGCCCAGCCCATGAGGCTCAAGACCCCCCCCCAGGTAGCCCGCTTCAAACTCTCGCCTGCAGCTCTTATGTATCAGTTTTTCCCCTTTACCAGCTCTTTTTCATGATTTGAAACGAAAAAAATCAGTAGCAGAACAACCCAGCCAGCAGACTTCTTTCTGAAAAATAAATGGTTGCATGACCAGTGGACGGGAAGGTGGCCAGGGGGTGGGGGACGTTGGCCAGTGGATAGGTGGCGCTTTACTTACGTATTTTTACCTACGTAATTTGTAAAACATTGTTGCGCCACGTGATCCTTTCTCTTCTTAAGAATTATAAAGAATTCAGGTTGGCCCAGGAGTACGACTTCGTTTGACGCCTATGGGTACAGCTTATGTGACCGGTACGGTGGCCAGAATGCTCGTTCCAGAAGTTGCCCTTGCTAAAATTCCATCTGAGGCGAGAACGGCAACGGTAAGTGATTCCTGGCGTAGAACTAGAATTCAACTTGCTCTATAACTTGAGGGAGCTGACTATCATACGCCACTTCGAGTTGACTGAATTAGGTTCTATCGTGGTGTTTCTATGTTCGAAATTTAAAAGGATCGGTGCACGGCAGCCAGTGCAGCGATTCTCAGGAAAAGCAGCATTCATACTTTGCGACTCGAGCGATTCAATGGCGTCATTTGAGAGTCCAAGTGACTTTGTCCGACCGCACTCCATAGATAATCTTTGGACCGATGCAGCGGCTAAAAAATGTCCCACCCTTACTATCAGTGGATGAGCTGAAAGCACACGCGCAGCGGTAGAAGGTGGGCAGTCGTAGCGCGTGTGAATCCCTCGAAGCGCTAAGTATGAACGTTGGCTTAGTGCTGCGAGTAAATACCGAAGTACAATAGTTCATCTGCAACTGCCTTTTTCCTTTTCCAGTTTGCCTCTTTGCCTACCATTGGACTCTCCTCCATGCAACTCCGCCTCTTTCAATGTTCCTGAAGCATTTGATGTTGCTACGGCATCTCCAAATTTGGTTATCGTTACTCTACAAAACTCAACAATAAGGTAAAACTTGTTACTCTATTTGCGGTGAGGTATTTGTACAACGGACGAAATTCTTCAAACTTTTTCAGTGTGGCCGCAAATGGATCAGGACACGTCGACGGCGTCCCTCTCACTGGAGGTCTGGAGATTCGGTACAAGCTCGATTCCAGATGGAAGTGGCCGTTGAAGTTAAAAGAAACACTCGGGGATATCCCGGTCTCAGGGTTTGTTGATGTTATTTTTTCCTTGATGGACCAGACCACGGAGAAAGTGACATGAACGAGATCTGGGCATTATGTGGAAGGTTCTCCGAATACCTACTTCTCTCCGCGGTTACGCGTGTAGGCTGAGCAGGAAACAATATCATTCCGTCTCAACTAAAGCTCCTAAGCTTTCAGGCGCCGTCCTGCAAACGTGGCTAGAAATCTCCGGTCTTTTCAGTGTTCCGTAGAGAATCAGTTAACACCGGAATACAAGTGACGCGAACATTCTCGCGGTGAGTTCAAGCCCAGTATTTATTGATTCACTAGTATTGTATCAGGCTCGGGAACCTGTTGGAAGTGACTTTTCATGGTTTCCTGCTTCAGCTAGTGAGTTCGGGCAGTAACTGCTTCATAAAAAATCAACTTTTTTACAGGATGCGGTGTCAAGAGATGGGCATACACTCTTCCAAAACTTGATTTGCCCACGGATCGTATTCTTGATCGAGAAAAGATGTTTCCGTTTAGTTGTTATCATCTACGTGCCTCTATTTACTAAGTTATTTCCTTCGTACTTTCCCGTGCTACCCTGGCTTCCGGCTAGAGCCATCAGGAGGTTCCATTGTGAGCCAGCTTAAGGCCAAATTCGCATGAATAAAATAAGCGCGATGACCTCTCAGATGTGTTCGACGATCCGTCGAGCGATTTTGAGGCTGCCGCTACTTTTACAAAATGTGAAAAACGGCAAGAACTCCGCTAGAAGCTGACTAATTAGGCCCATGGACACCCCTTAGGCCCATGCCGACCCTCACCGGCTGCTAGCTACTAGCTAGTAGCCACTATGTTATCTTTCTCTATAACATTTCGGACTGCTTTTTCTGCTGCTTTTCTCCGCTAATCAGATACTTAGCACTTTTTGTGTGGCCTTTTTGAGTCCCGTTTTGCCGGCACATTGCTTGGTCCATGCGGAAACTGCTGCTTTAAGAGCCTTTTGGGCTTTGTGGTTAGGGTTTTGTTGCTGGTCCGGTGTACAGTACCCACCGTGCTCCCAATAACTAAAATACTTGAAAGCGTAATCCCAGCTGATGCTATGGGTGGTGAAAAGCAAGCATTTGTCGCCCTCATTGTCCCTTGATCGATATTTTCTCGATCGTAGCATTGAGAAGGGTTTTTTGAGGTCATCCAGGATTATAGGGCCTTTTTCGGATTACGTTGAGACTCCTTCATTTTTTTCCGTGCGAACCCCCGGAAAAAATCTTCTCTTCAGTTTCCTTTGACATAACTCAGAGAATACTTTCTCTAGATCAATCAACGATTCGGCCTGCTCTCTTCCTCGCATTGCTCTTGGCGATTTGAGTAACTTCGATCTTGTCAAAAGCATTCTGGCCTCGCAGCAACAACTGCGCAGAAGAAGCATCAGGTAGGTTTAGTATGTGCTTGAGATAATTTGAAGAGGTGCATAAGATGCGTAACGCGAAGCTTCCAAAAGTCGGAGTTCGTGCCCGAATCTGGGATTACTCCAGTATATCGAATTCTGAGACTTGAGAGGACAGCAACCCACTTGACTTAGAGCCATTTTGTCATGTTGAAATTGTCATGGAAAACATTACTAGCATAGCCTACAACTGTATTTTCAGCTACAAACGACTTCGCGATCCCCCATTCCTGCATGTGTGAGTGAATCTATACATCAGTGGT